CATGCGACTACTCGTTCTAGGTGAAGTTCCTTCATTTCCGAAAGATCAGAGGAACATTCGGGAACACGTGAACGGGTCAGTCGCAAGTCGTGCAGGTTGATTTATCACCCGTCGTCCGCGCACAGCAACTTGGGCGCGAGCGGCTCCCCGGCGTCACAGGCCCGTGAGTGCGGCACACTGTATCTTTCCGTTTCGGCCTTGGAAGAAGATACGACATCTCCCCGCCGGGAGCCGTAACTTCACCGACCGCAGGGTGCTTAAGGCTCCAGGCTCCTGCCAGTTTGTTACCGCAGATGGATGAGAGCCCACCGTTTCATGAAATTGCTTTGGAATATTTGCAGAATGACCTTTTCCCACTCTCTCTCTCACCAAGGTGCATTAACTCCTTCCGCACAAGACGGGAAGACGCTATGCGGGCCGCTCTCCCGCTATGCAGGCCCACGTGCAACACCGCACCCTTCGCTGTGACGGCTTCCCCGACAGGGTCCCCACCATCAGAGACACCGTCCCCCGAGGTTCCGCTCCAGAGAGACAGGAAAGGGGAAGGCACGGAGGCACCCACCGGGTGGCGCCAGGATCACGATCCGGGGCTGGCTGTCTGCAAAGCCTCTGCGTTTCCACGCCCTGGGGCACGTTGTGTGTCCCCTGCTGTGGCCTGTGTCCCCTTTCCCTTGAATTGGAGCAACTTGAGCCCGTTTTCCTTCTGTCCGTGCGGGAGCTCCGGGTGCGGCTCTGTGCCCGCTCCTCTCTGTCTCTCCAGGCGCACCTTGCGCCTGGGCGGGTACTCAGCGTGTGAGCCGGGCACGGTCCCGGGAGGCTGGACGCGCATGCTCTTGCTTCTGTGACAGGGTCAGTTAACAGGAGCGTGATGGTTCTTCTGTGGTGCGGCCGCGGGGGAGGACACGGGGGCCCCCCGGGGGGGGGGGGGGGGGGGGGGCAGGGCGAGGGCCCCCTCCCACAACGCAAGTACAAGCTGGAGACCATGAGGACGGGCTGGAGTCTGGGTCCGTTCTTCTCCTCTGACCTAAGGCACGAGGGCTCTGCAGAAGCCAGCGAGCGCCCTGCGTCTGGAGCGAACTTTCCGCGCCCTGTGGCTGGGGAAGCTGAAGAAGGATTCGGGGAGGATACGCTGGTCGCCAGTCTGGTCGCCAGCTGGTCGTTGCAGCAAAGAGCTGGTCTGCGGCCCAGTGACCGTGCATCTGAGCACCACGGCTGCTGCTTCCCTGGGGGCGCCCAGGCCTCAAAGCGCGAGCTCGCCCGCCCCGGCCGGCCTGGCCAGACACCTGTAGCAGGGGGCCTCCGGAAAATGCAGTCCAGCCTAACCACGGTGCCGCTCGAGAGCGTCACCGTGGTCCGTCCACCCTGGCGCCTCGACACCACACGCATCTCGCTTAGTCTCCACATACAGACGGTAAAAGGTCACTTGTCTGGGACAGCCAAGCCCACGTGCCACCAATAAGACACAGATCCCACCCCCAGAGGAGGATATCCGGCCCCCTTTTTGTCTCGGGGTAAAGTGTTCAGTCTTCTCTCCGCTGATTAAAACTCTCGCTCTGATGTACGTATGACACACGTACACACACGAGGGAGAAGGTGAACTTCTGTGCACGTGCCACATCACACGAGGGTTGACGGAGGGGAGAACACAAGTATACTTGGTTGCTACACACAAACGTGTACATCAAAACAGGAAGGAAACACCCATACACACGAGTCTCCTTTCCACAGCTGGTCCGCGGTCGCAGCTGGTCATTGTCGTAACCTTCCGCCGAACCCGTTACTCCTTCGATGTTCCCTCTGCTTTCGACAGGCACCCCAGGTGGGGGACCGAGGCCTGGGAACTGGCGAACCTGTTTTGTAAAGGCTCAGGCAGCACACACCTGGCCTCCGAGGGCCATGCAGCGTCTGTCTCGGCTGCTCAGCTCTGCGCGGCAGTCAAATGGCTGCTGCTGTGTTACAATAAAACTTTATTTACAAACACAGGTAGGGGGCCAGTCTTGGCCTGTGTGGCCTCTGGTTTGTGACAGCCGGCCTCGGCCATTGAAATTGGATTCTCGTTTTCCAATTCGATGATAAGACATAGGAGACCCGAGAGGCACCCAGGGGACGTCCTGCATTGCACACACGCTCCTCCCGTTTCACAGTGTCACCTTCTGGGTCAGCAGAGCCACCGCCGCGTCCCCTGGCAGACACGTTCTTCCCTCTGGACCGAATGCCTCTAAACCCAGAGCCTAGTGGGTAACTACAGGAGAGGGCGGGAGAAGCTGCTTTCCCCGGAGGGAGCTGCCGGCTCCTGACCAGGTCAGGAGAGCTTAGCAGGCCCATGCCTTCATTCGGTCAGTGAGCACTTACTGAACACCTACTGTGTGTCAGGCAGGCAGAGACCATCACGCCGTTTCTGGAGCTCCCGGTCTGGTAGGGGAGACGCGTCTCAACAGTCAGTGGACACGTGATTGCAAATGGACGTGGTGACAGACAACAGAGGGGGCCCCGAAGTCGGGGGGCGAGGGGGAGCCTCTCTGAGGAGGTGGCTTTAGGGTGGATGCCTGAAAGGTAAGAAAGACGGGCTCTTGCTAAGGGCATCGCAGCGAGGGAGGGCCTGGAGAAAGGCTGGTCTGTTCTGCCTGTTTGGCCAGAGTACCGAGCCGCGCAGGGAACAGTGGGTGGGGAACGGAGTACGCAGGCTGAGCGCTGGCGGCCTGGACCTTGTTCTAGGGGCGCTGGGCAACGTGCACAGGTCATAGGTGGGGAGGCGGCCACACTGGTACGGGGGGACGGTGGTCAGACGGGCGGCAGGAAGGGACCGGGAGGTCAGGCCGGGCCCTTCCGTCAGACACGGGTGCACGGATCAGAGTAGTGGTCATGGAAGAGGCAGGGTGACCTGGGGGCGCATCCAGAAGGTGGCTTGGACAGTGCCTGCTGGTGGGCGGTCCGAGGGAGGCCGAAAGGGGGTGACCCGGGGCTGGCGCCTGCTGATGGACAGAGAGAGGCCAGAAGGGGGTGAAGGGTGACCCCGGGTTTTGGGAAGGGGGTGTGCACACGCACACGTGCACAAGATTGGCAGACGGGAGGGAGGGTGAGCAGACATTTAACAGGTTGTAGGAACGTGTTCTTGTCACGCGGGTCTGTGCACATTTCAGCGGCAGGAACCGGGTTGACAGTGCTGTGTGGTCGCGGCCACTGCCCGGCTCCGGAACCGTCTCATCTTCCCACTTGGGAGCTCGGTCCCCGTCCAGCAGGACCCCCGATCTCCCCGCCCCCCTGCCCCCCACACCCCTCCTCCGTGCCCACCCCTGCGTCCCCCCTTGCCCCCCTCTCCCCCCTCCTACCACTGCGCCCCCCCTCCCCCGTCCTCCCCTTTCGCGCCCACCCGTGTCCCCCCACCTCCCCGACGCTGACTACCGTGTTCCTCCCATGCACTGCACCCCCCGCACCCACTCCTGCATCCGTCACCGTGACCGTGCCTGTCACAGGGACCACATGCTTGTTCTGTGATGGCCGTGGCCCACGTGGCGCCGTGGCACCAAGGCTCCTTCCTGGGTGTGGCCCCCGTGCTTCTCTGGTCACCTGCCCCCAACCCTGGCTCACAGCCGGGTTTTCACAGTTGTGAGCACTGTTGCCCGAACGTGGGTGTGCAAGGACCTGCCTGAGAGGGGTCTCCCGGTCTTCTGGGGGTGGGTGGGGGGCTCCCCGCGCCTGACACGGTCTCCTGGTCTTGGGGGGGGCTCCCCGCACCTGACACGGTCTCCTGGTCTTGGGGGGGCTCCCCACGCCTGACACGGTCTCCTGGTCTTGGGGGGGCTCCCCGTGCCTGACACGGTCTCCTGGTCTTGGGGGGGCTCCCCGCGCCTGACACGGTCTCCTGGTCTTGGGGGGGCTCCCCGCGCCTGACACGGTCTCCTGGTCTTGGGGGGGCTCCCCGCGCCTGACACGGTCTCCTGGTCTTGGGGGGGGGCTCCCCGCGCCTGACACGGTCTCCTGGTCTTCCAGGGAGGCGGGTGGCATCCTGCAAGCGGATGACTGGATCAGACACTGATTCTAGTTCCAATTTTTTGGAAGAGTCGCCCTGCCGGTTTCCACAGGGGCCCCACCGTTTCACATTTCCGCCAGTAATTTCTTCACGTCCTTGCCAACACTTGTTATTTTGTTTGTTTTTTATAAAAATAACAGGGGCCCCTGGGTGGCTCCGTGGGTCTGACTCTTGATTTCCGCTCAGGTCTGGATCACAAGGTTGGTGAGTTGGGGGCCGAGTGGGGCTCTGTGCTGAGTGTAGAGCCTGCTTGGGATTCTCTCTGTCCCCCCCTCCACTCGCGCTCTCTCTCCTTTCTCTCTCTCTCTCAAATAAACATTAAAAAAAATGAAAAAAAAAAATAAATAATAGCCTTTCTAGTGGGTGTGAAGAGATGCTCGCGGTGGCTTCGACTAACGAGAGAAGACCGGTTCGGCTTGGATACTAGGCCTGGGCGTCCCAGGGGCTCAGGCACACAGTATGTGTCAGTCTGGAGCACGGAAGCGAGGAGCGAAGAGGCAACACTTCCTGGGTGACGGTCTGCCCCGCCCGGGGAGGGGGCGGTTACCGGGAGGAGGGAGAGCAGATCGGTCCTGCAGTGAGGCTGGGGCAAACAGTGATCCCTGGGGAGGAAGAGCCAGGGGCACGAGGAGAAGAGGGAGCTGCACGGAGAAGGGGTAGTTCCCTGTAAAAGGAGGGCCTCAGCAGCCTGGGGCCCCAGCGGGGGTGCCGGGGGCTTGAGACATAACGGCAGGTGTTCACTGTGGCCGCTGAGGTTCTTGTCCTCAGAGACGGTGACTCAACCCCGCATTCCTAACCTGCAGGGCAGGGGAGCCTGAAAACACACCATTTTCAGTGGAGGATGGCCTTAGACACTGCCCGTGTCTCCTCTGATGCTGGTTTGGTTGGCTCTGCGAGTGTCCAGTTATCTAGAAGGGTACGTCATTCAGGGCTCGCACCGGCCACACGTGAGAGAAAACAGATCTACCAGTGGCTTAACTACAACGGAATTCGTTTTTCACAAATGACAGGAATCCTGAAGAAGTCTATTCAGGACCAGCACAGCTGTGTCTGGGGTTTTGTTCGTTTTTTGGCTCTCTGCTGTGTCATTCTTAATGTGTGAGTTTTATCCTCATGGTTGCAAAATGGCTGCTCCTCTTCCAGCCATCACTTTCACATTCCAGGCTGGGCACAGGCATAGGCCGGCTGAGTGGGCTTCGTTTTCCCTGAGGCCTCACACAGTAGACTTCTGTTTGCACCTCACCGGCCGACACGTTCACCTGGTCACTTCTAGCTGCAGTGGAGTTGGGAGGGATTTTAAGTTGGACACCTTGCCGTGCTGAACAAAATCAGCGTTCTGTTACTGACATGGAATTTTGAGGGAAGGAAAGAACGGGTGCTGGTTGAGCCATCATCACGGTCTCCCGAGGGAGAAGGAGATGGCAGGCGGGGCCAGCAGAGAAGGGACACCCGGGGTGCTCATTACAAAGCCGAAATGTCACGTCAGGAATTTTTAAGCGGGGCTTGAACCGTTTTCACCTCCTTCTCGACTCAGCAAATATTTCAAACATCTCTTTCTTTACAAATGCCCAACTCGTGAGACCGTAACATTTCCCTTTACTTATAAATAATCCTTTCTGGCTGCTTGGGGGGGGGGGGGAAAGAAGGAGCAGGATAAGTTAAAAATACATAATTACCCAAAGACGGTGTTAATTGTACTTCCAGATCCCAGCGGGGACCTCCATCCTGGAGAATTCATGAATGCCTGACCCGGAGAACTGTAATGAGAAAAAATGTCACTGGAGACCAACATTTTGAATTATTGATTAGAAGGGGGTTTCTAGGCTCTTTCCATTTAATTACCCAGAAGAGGTGAAGCAGAGAGAGAGAGAGAGAGAGAAGACACAGAGATTGGAAGGAGCCGGGGGTTTGGAAACTGCCGTGTGGTACCCCCTTTGTGTAAAGCTGTATAGCTGTGGGGCCGCGGGCCCGGGTTCCAAGAAGGGGGGCTTGGCAGAGGGGGCGAAAGAATGAGTGCTGAGGACCCGGCTGGGACAAGAACGCCAGGTCTGTCCTGCCGAGTGAGCAGGCTGGGTGCCCGGCCGGTGGCTGCGAGGTTCCCGCACACGCTCCTGAAACCCCAGGACCTTAGCCAGGCACCTGCAGCCCCGCTGTCCTGAGGATTTGCTGGGCTGCCCGAAAGAAACAGCAGAGAAGCCTCTTGGGACTCAGATCCTATTGGGGTGCAAAGGGATCAAGATTTTGAGAGGAAGAGGGCAGATCGAGGCCGCCTATGTTTGGGGGGGGGGCGTCTACGAAATGAGAGCCCGCCGGGAAGGTGCGCACTGCTGACCGAGTCCAGAGCGGCCCTAGTGAGCTTGTCACAACTTGCTGTCCGGACTGGTAGTGCCCTCTGCCTCGCCCTCTGTGACCTTCCCCTGGGCCGACCCCGTTGCCCGTCGGGCATTGTTGGTGGTCCCTGTTCAGCCGTGAGCTCTCCGACGTTGCCACTCCCTCCAGGAGGACCCGCCCTCCCTTCCCTGCCCTGGACCGAGGCCTCCTGGCACCCAGTCTCAAGCTTCTGATACCGCGTTCTCAGCCTTTAACACTTTACGTGTTGATTTACGGACGACATAAAGCAGCATCCTAACCACTGGTAGGTGTAGGGGTGCAGTGGCTGCTGTGTGAGCACGTTGCTGTGTGACTGTCTGCCCCAGCCACCTGCAGAGTGCGGCTTGTCTTTTTTTTTTTTTTTTAACATTTATTTATTTTTGAGACAGAGAGACAGAGTGCATGAACAGGGGAGGGGCAGAGAGAGAGGGAGACCCAGAATCCGAAACAGGCTCCAGGCTCCGAGCTGTCGGCACAGAACCCAATGCGGGGCTGGAACTCACAGACCTTGAGATCATGACCTGAGCCAAAGTCAGACGCTCAACTGACTGAGCCCCCAGGCGCCCCTCCAATATATATATGTCTGTTTTTTTTTTTTTAATCTTTATTTATTTTTGGGAGAGAGACAGAGTGTGAGCAGGGGAGGGCCAGAGAGAGAGGGAGACCCAGAATCCGAAGCAGCTCCAGGCTCCAAGCCGTCGGCACAGAGCCCGACGCGGGGCTCGAACTCCCCAACCGCGAGATCACGACCTGAGCCGAAGTCGGACGCTGAACCGACTGAGCCGCCCAGAGGCCCCAGAGCTCACTCGTCTTGCTGGACTGGAGCTCCGACCCCCACTCTGGGCTCCCGCGACAACCATGACCTTGCCGTGACCTTGCCGAGGCCAGGTCCATCACATTCGCGGGGCCACACGCCGCGGTCTCTGACGCGGACTTCCTTTGCCCAGGGGTCCTCGGTGCTGCCCCAGGTGCAGCGTCTCCCCGTCTCCGAGGCTCGGCGACACGCCCGTGCGTGGGCCCCACGATCCTTTCCGCCGCCGCTGGAGCCGGAACCGCCACGGCGCGTTCCGCAGCCACCGTTGTACGTTCCCGCCCACAGCGGACACGGCTTCCGGTTCCGCCACGGCCCGGCAGTGCGTGTTGTTTGCCGCTTTGGGACGGGGGCCGCCCCGGTGGCTCCCGGGTGGCGTCTCTGGTGGTTTGGATGTGCATTTCCCAGTGGTTCGCGTGTGGAGCGTTACTGAGGCTGCCGGACTTCGTGATGAGACACTCGCCCGGGAGGCCGGCGGCTCATCCCGCGAGCGTCCCTCGAGGCTGGGAGTCCTGGGGGCGGGGCCGGCCCGTGGTCAGCTCCTCAGACCACCCCCACCCCCCAGCCCCGCGAGGCACCTTACAGTCCCCGTGTTACAGGTGAGGGGCTCAGAGAAGTCCGGTGACCTGCTGGAGGTCACACGGCCGGTGTGGGTTGAGCCGGGAGCCTTGCTCTCGGCACCCGGGTCCGCGGCAGCTGCCGCACGGGGGTGGGCACCACCCAGCAAGCCTGCTTCAGAGCGGCCGGCCGGCGGCCCTGGTCCTGCTCCAACCGACTGGCCTCCCGTCCCGGGATTTGCCGTCCTGGCCTCTCTCCTTGTCTGGGCCCATTCGGGCCCGAGACCCTCGCTCCACTGGGTACATGAGGACGCACCATTAGCCCCCTGTTGAGAGTTTAAATCACTCCGTAGGAGTCTGCCTTGGCATCCATTCCGTGTGGCCGAGCAGCCCGCGGGGCCTTGACCTCGCCCTTCCCCCCCTCCCTCCCACAGGTCCCAACAGGTGCACACCCTAATAGCGGCCCGGGGGCCTTGACCTCGCACCAGCTGCTCCCACAGGTGCGCACTCTAATAGCCCACAGGGTCCCAAGTGGGTGTGGGTTCCTGAGGTGGTTTCCCCCGCACTCCTGGTGGGGCACAGCCTCTCCTGCCCCCCAGCTCCCTCCCCTTGTGTGGCCCCTTAGAGAAAACCCCTCAGGGTGCAGCCAAACCAGGCTCTTTTCAGTGCAAGCCAGCCAGCCACGCGCCTGCCGGGAGTCCCAGAAGCACCCTGTCCGTGGACCCTAATCAGGGTGTGTGCCCGGGTCAGGCTGCTCCTGCCCGGGCTGCACCCCGTCCTGACTCCCCGCGGGGCCCCTCCAGGCGGGGTGCTTCCTCCAGACCTGTGAGTCATTCTCTTCCCTGCTTCACTTTCCCTGGTGGTCCCTGAGCCGTGCCTCCCCAGCAGACACCCCGCCCGCACTCGACGGGTGCTCACGAAGTCCAGCACCCCTGTGCTCGGCCAGGCTGGCCTTTGGGATGCCGAGCCGGACTCCCCACCTCGTCCAGCCTGATTCTTCCTTCACTTTTATCCTCCGAATTCAGGACGCATCCCGTGCTAGCAGGATGTGCTGTGTGACCGTTGTGAATTTAGGCCATTTTCACCCCAGAGCTGGCCCCTTCCACACTCCGGCCTTCCGTGGGGACGTCCATCCCACCCCCACGCCCTCCATGCGATTCCGCAGCTGGGACTGGGTCCCCGACCCCAGACCACGTGTCTGCCCACCCGCCGTGGGTACTGGTCCCGTGGTGGCCCAGGGACCCTCTCAGCCAGGGGGAGCCTGGCAGGCTGTGCGGAAGCAGATGGTGCTGGAACGTGGTGGGGCTCCCCTCCAGGGCAGGGGAGGAGAGAGCAGGCTTGGACGCGGGGCTGGGTATTATTCCCACACCGAGACGTGCCAGGTGCCTCCCGAGAGCCCTGGGCAGAGGGAGCGGCCTGCAGCCAGATGGGCCCCGAGGCCACCGGCCTGCCGCGTGTCCTGGCTGGGAAGGAAGGCATGCGGCGGAGGGGCCCGGAGGGAGGGTGGACAGCCAGCCCGAGCATCTGGTCTCCCTCCCTCCGCCCCTCCTGCACTGTTGTCTCAAACCCCTCTTTACAGACTCGTGTCCCTGAGGGTCCCGGCATCTCGTGCCCCAGGCCCAGCACGAAGCCGGGGGTCCCGGGCCCCACCGCCCGGGAATTCAGGTCCCGCAGGCAGACGCACTGGAGGTGGGACCCACCATCCACCGACAGGTGTGAACTTTGCTGCCAGGACGCCCTGAAGAAGCAGGACGGGAGGGGGCGAAGGGATTCCGAGCAGACTTGCTGAGGCGCCCTGGCCGCGGCCAGGGGGACGCATGGGTGCCGAGTGGGGGCAGAGAGAGGACCCGCGTCCCAGGCCACGGAGCGGAGTGTGTGTGGTCAGGAAGGGGCAGGGGGGCGGGGGGCGGGGCCTCCGCTGACTCTGAGATAGATGCAGGGGGGTGGGGGCCCGGCAGGCTCGTTCCGCTGCAGGAGGCACGTTTTCCGGCACAGACGGGGAAGGTGGCTGGTGACGATGGCCGTGGTCCAGGTGCTCGGTGGTGGCGGTGTGGGGGCGGGCTCCACGGGCTCCCGGGTCCCCCCAGGGAAGAAGGGGCCAGGCCACCGTGCGGACCCGCAGAGGGTGGCCGGGGCTGCTCGGGCAGCACAGAGGGGGCGCCAGCAGCCCCACACGCACCCCGATTCCCACGCTCGTCAGCGCCACCACTTTACGGTCAGGCTGGACGCGAGGCCGGTGATGGAACGGGGTGGAAAGCCGCAGCGCCTCTCCTGCTTTGCCTTTCACCAGCAGGGCTGTCCCATGCTGTCACTGGTCTACAGTCTTCCTCATGCCGCCTGGTGTGACCCTCCCACATCTCCAGCTGCCATTTCTGGTCGTGCTCCCTGGCCGCAGGCCACAAACTCGCTTCCCAGCACACAGTGCCAAGCTCTCACTGCCTCGGGGCCCTTGCACATGCTAGGCCGTCTGCTTGGAGGTTCTGTCCCCTCCTCAGCCTTCTGGTCGGATCTCAGATGTCAGCCCCCCGCCCCCTGCTTCCACACAGATCGCGTGTGCTCACTTCCCACCGCAGGTAACCGCGTGCCTGTCTTTGCGATGGTTCAGGTGGGGCATCCCCACGAGGCCTCCTGGAGGGCAGAGTGGGGTCTGTCTTGCTCGTGGCCGCGTCTGCAGCACTCGGCACGGGTCTGCACAGAGCCGGTGCTCAGAAGTAGTTACTTCTGCGACTCCGTGAAAGGCCGGGGCAGACGCTCGTAGGCCTGACCAAGCTCGCTTTCTGGCTCGCTTCCCCCAGAAGGCCCTGTGTGCACTTCCCGCCCAGAAGGCGGGTCTTTGTCGTGAAACCAGCTTTGCCGCTTTGCCTGGGGCGGAAGCAGATGCCACCCGGTCCCTGTGCGCGACTTCTGGCCGGCAGCTTGTCGCCCGCGAGCGCCTGAGTTGGTCTGTGACCCTCAGCACCTGCCCACGCGGTGGGCTCAAGCCCGGGGAGGGTGGCCCCGTGGGGTTAAGCTCTGTCCCCACAGCACTGGGTCATTTGGTGATGTGCCCTTTCCTCCCCGCTCCCCCTCGGCCCCCAAATAAGCCACTTGACTTACTGACTCATTAGCCATGTTGACTAAGTAAACGTTAAAAAATTAAAAAAAAAAAAGAATTCGATACTTTTTAAAAATGTTTTACTTATTTTTGAGAGAGAGCAAGTGGGGGAGGGGCAGAGAGAGGGGGAGACACAGAATCCGAAGCAGGCTCCGGGCTCTGAGCCGTCGGCACAGAGCCCGACGTGGGGCTCAAACCCACGAACCATAAAATCATGACCTGAGCCAAAGTCAGATGTTTAATCAACTGAGCCACCCAGACACCCTCACTACTATTTTTTT